AAAATTAATGATTTTTTTATTTAATATTAAGATAAAATACAAAGTTAAAAAAATTCCAAAAATATATGACTCATACTATATATATACTGTATATATATATATATAATATTAATCAAATTAAAATCCAATTGTACTTTTCAAAATATTTGTTTGAAAATAAAAAAAAAACTTTTTTACTTTTTTATTATATTTTAAGAAAATACAATTTAATATTGTTAATTCAGTAAAAAAATAAAATTATATTTGTAAAGGTTATGTTTCTAAAAATTTGAAAATTAATAAGAAAGAAAAATTGTTTTTTTTTGAAATACAAGAAAATTATTTTCGTGTAAATTTTATAAAATATATTATGTATATTGTAATAAATTACAAAATGTTATGATGCAATTGTATTTGTTATTCTTATTATAATTTTTATGAAACCAAATCAAATTAATAAAATCATACTTGAGAAGTATTTAACAATAAAAAAAATCTATTATAATATACATAATCATAAATATTAAATTTTGTAATTTCATTAAACCTATACATTAAATAAAAAACCCAATTACGAAATACAGTACATGTACAGTATATTATAAAATGTTTTTTATTGCTGAACATGAAATCAGAACGCCTTTTTTATTACTTGGAGTTAACTTTATTAGACGGCGCTCCTATGACAAGGATATTCAACTGCAATTACCATTAGTATTAGTTAGAAAACGTGCAAATAAAAAAAAAAAATGATTTTCTTTATTTACAAATCACAAAAAAAAAAAAGTATCGCACAAAACTAGGAAAAATTGTGTTGCAAAAGGGTATATGTATATAAGAAATGTTTACGAGAAAAACCCACCTACTATGTTTCTATGTACCCCAACTTAATAATATTTATAAAAATTTTTTTTTATATTTTACAAATTTATATGATACAGAAATACTATTACAACCAAAAGTGTGTATATAAAAAGTGGAGAGAATAATTTGGGAAGGCTGAAATGAGGATAAAAGGAAATGGGAATTTATTTTTTTTAAAAAATTTACAATTTTGTTTCTATTTTTTTTTTATTTTTGCGGTATGTATATTAAATTTTTTTGGTGAAGGGATTTCAAGAATAACGTTATCACATAGTGGGCGTATCGGATGGAATAAACAAAACTAAATTGAAAAATAATATAATTAGTTATCTTGGAATAATGAATCATCCGTTAGATCAACCTTGAAATAATTAGTTTAAAGCGAAAATATATATTACCTGGTAGAAATTAAAGACGCAAGTTAAACGGTACCGATCACTTCTCTCGCCTGTTTCCGTTGTTCTTGCTGTGGTTTCGGTTGTATATCTTCATTTCCAGTGTCAAGACTGATACCAGAGAATTTTTGCTCAAGAATGTTGACCCCATTCTCAGGCTCGACTGTTTCGTCATCAAGATATTCTTCCCAACAGACAGAATATGTGAATTCATCTAGTTCAACAAAGGTAATAAATGCGAAAATATGTCAATTTACCATATAAATTCTAAATAATACCATAAATCGGGTGTACAAAATGACAAAGAAGAAGATTTTTATTGCTATTATTATAAAAATTACGCATTATATGTAATAAAAATATTGCATCTTTACATATTGTACACCCACAATATACAATAATTTACAGACCACGACCATTGTGGACATCGTCTAAGAATCTATTCAGCATAGGCCAAACTTGAGGCTTTTTCTCAGTGGTAAGACGTTGGATCCTGTTGATTACAATATCCCAAGGAAGATTCTGCCGGTTATTCAGTTGGAGAGTCTCGAGAATTTCAATGTACAAGGCATCATCACCGATCAGAGAATAGGCCATCTCAAGGAAATCATCGTTAAGACCTTTTTAATAAAAACAAGTAATTATTATAAATCGATTAGCAATATAATTTCTATGTGTACATTTATATTGATATTCAAATATTATAATTATGACATACCAAGTTCATCGCTAGCCTTCTGTTCGGCAAAAACCTTCTCCATCCTCCGTTTTGTATGCGGATCACAGTCCTCGTTCAAGAAGCGTTGCAGACCAGACCATACTTGTTGATGACTGGCTGAATCATTATCGAATTGCATGGCACGTAGATAACCATCCATCAAACGTCTGTCGCCTCTTAACGCTTGTTCAACTCTTCGAAGCATATCCAAGGCATCGCAAACCCTCATTAGGGTACTCTCGAAAGCAGGATTTTGTTCACATTGACGCATCATCACCTGAAATTTTGTGAACAAGCCGGGGTCAGAAGAACGACGGAAGAACGGCAAGACATTTTCGATGACCGCATGTAAGGGGGTGACGGTCAAGGTGCTAATGAAGTCCTCAAAGTCATTTTCGTCGGGAAGTGAACGCCGAAACGAGCGAAAAAAATAATATACTGCGTAAGGGGTTGTTTGGTCAGCTGCCATTCTTCTTCTTATCAATTATTACTCTTTTATGTTAACAATTGGTCAGTAACTATGAGCGATAAATTTTTACAAAAATTATTATTATTATTCTTAGAGAAGGACGATAAAAGAGTAAAACAGTGAGTTTTCAGATGGCTTTGTGTTTACAATATATACGTGCTTACCTTGGTCTTTGTACGTAAAAAAAAAAAAAAAAAAAACTCGTACTATACAAAGTTGTGTAGCCAACTTCTTTGTACGTACGCAAGATCTTTTTAAAATGGATCAGGCATGTTATGGGGTGATACGTGTGAACCAAATAATAGGTGACGCATATTCATACATACGACACAACATAAAAAATTGCCGTAATTGCATAATGAAATCATGGAATCATATCGGAATACAATTGTGTAATGTCGAAATTGTGTTTGTGTTATTGGACGAATGAGGAACATCAAGTTGAACACAATGATGTTGTAGAAAAACCAGCCATACAAGTATGAAAATGAAACTATATTTGGATTGTGACCAAGCGCGAACAATGGGAATAGTATTATCTGATGTCCCCTGCACTAACTCTACCAATTTCGTTATAGCAAACAGAATTGGCTGAATTCACACTTGCAATTTTTGTCTAATTATATACTAATGCTAATATAAATAAGTAATCTTTTAATTTGTTTTTTTTTTTTTTTTTTGAGTAATCTTTTAATTTGTATCAAACTTAATTTTAAAAAATTAATAAAATAATATCATATATTATATCTTTTATTTTAATAATTCCTATTTTAAATTAAATGTGCTTTTTAAATATAAATATTATATAAATATATATATAAACAAGATTGATTTCATATTTATATTATAATTTTTTAAAAAACTATTTTTTGTTAAATTTTTTATAATTCGATAATATATAATTAATTATTTTTTTTAATTATTTTTTTTTTTAAGATAATAAATATCGTTTGATTTTTATTAAATATTATTGAAAATTATAGATATTTATAATTCTTATAAATTAATATTTTTATATGTTTTTGTAACCAATTTTTATTTAGTTTATTTATTTTTTTTTTTTGTAGGTAAACATTATCACTTTATTAATCGTAAAATTGTTTGAAATTTATACATGGAGAAAGCGAC